GTAAACTTTTCAAGAAGTTTTTTGACCTGTTATTGCTCATTGTTTTAATGAAGGTAAATAATCTTCCCATGCAAAGCATTAATTTCTTGGAAGAAATGGGAGGATGTTAATTCTTTGAAAGCAATTTCTAAGCTAAGCTAAACAGATCTAAGATAAACTGATTGCAAAGATAATTTTTGTCCTTCATTTTTTATATGAATATTCTACATTTTTCTGCTGTAAATTAGCAGGGCAAGAGGAAGCACTTGGTGGGGTTCTGGGTTAGTAAACTGAGGACTAAGTACAGATGAACAAGTAAGCAAGAATGAGTTTTCTTTGTGTGAGTCAGTTTGCCAGTTTGTTCTGTAGTCTTACTTCAAAGCAGTTTAAGATAAAATACATGCTTAAATGATATAAGATTAACTTCAGAGAGTCAAAATGTCATCTCAAAACATCAAGTGCAATTATATTCCTCAGAAAAACTTAAAACAGGGTATTTTAAAGCATGTTTTCTTTTTTTTGTCATAATTCACAGAAGATAATATTATTGGTGATGGGATACATTTGCTGCAAGGAAAGAAGATAGAAGAAACAACACGCCAGGTGAAAGAACTACTCTTTTTTTCAGAATCTGAAATGTCATTAAAATAAAATGCATATTTCTTGCTTCCATTCAGTATTTGCCTAGCCTAAACTTCATACTCAGTATGCCTGTGTATTTTAGAAGCTGAGTTTAAAAGAAGATTCTTGTGACTAAGTTGTGCACCATTTTCATTATGCAGACCATATGGGTTTTAATACTTAGAAAACTTTTTCCTTCCTTGAGCTAATACATTTCTGTTAAATTGATGCACTGGAATTGTGTCTAGCAAGATCTATACTAAGTGTTTAGCGCAGTCTTGCATGATCCATATTGGCATATGTATCCTAATGCTTTCTGAATTTCTATAAACATATACTATATCTCCTCTTCATAATACTACGTTAGTTATCTCACTAGCATGAGCAATTAAGGCATTCTGACCCTTGGGTTTGTACAATAATAATAACATAAAAGTAGGTAACAACCCATCAACTCGTGAGTAGCAGAGAGGATAGGAGAAAGACTTGTAGCTCTGGAATTAGTTTGACTGGCATTTGCTTTTTATTTCACTTCCAGTCCAATGTTTGCCCTAATAACACGTTACTTAAAGGACCAGTTCATGTCTGTTGCAAATCAGCTTGGATCTGCTGATTTCACATGACAGAACAGTTTACCTAGTGTGGGAATTTGACTAAAAGTGTATAACACACACCTATATGCGTGTGTATATATCTAAATGAGGAATTAATACAATAAATTCTTTAAAAGCTGAAAATCTAATGAATTTTCCTTTACAGAAGAGTACTACATTTAAAGTGAACATTAAACTTTATGAAGGTCTCCAAGCTGAGTTTCCTCTGCTGTTCCTACACAATGTCAGGAGTCCTTTTGGATGTTTAGGTTTAAAAGGGAGAAAAAACTGTACATGCATCACCCTGAAGGCATCTGAGATAAGACAGAGAGCTGTGAAGACCCAGGCTTTAGGCAGTGCTCAGCTCCAGTGTAGGCCAGAGACACCATCTGCCTTAAAAAGAAAAGTCAACTGATCTGTGTATCAGGGGACAGATGACCGTATTGGAAACTGGTGACTTGAAAGCCAGTATGTTCCAGGTGTCTCTTGCTTTCCCTCAGGGTTTTATCTGTCTCTGTGTTGTTAGTTTGTTCCTATGATTACCTCCTCTCCCCACTGCCAAAAAGTAGGTGACAAGGAAGGAAAGGAGAAAAAAACTTGTTTCTCTTCTGCATCTCTCGTTCTCTTTCTCTGGTCTCTTTCTCTTGCCTTCTAAGTATTAAGAAGACAGATTATTCTTTGATTTCCCACAGCAGTTCTTCCCTTAGTGTGAGAGATCTCTGGCTCTGCCCCTATTCTGCCCCAGCAGCCTCTGGGCTGATTCTTGCTTGAGATCCTGGAGGCCATTCCCCAGACATGATAGAATATGGAGGGAAAAAGGGAAGCAGAAATAATAGGGAGGAAGGCCTGTTTGCTTTAAGTATAAGTTCCCTTAAAATCTCTTAAAGCATCTCCCAATGAACCATTTGCCCCATTGTAAAAGCAAAGTTCTATTTCTGACCTCTAATTTTTTGAAGATGCTTTTTGGGGCACGTGACTAACGAGCTGTAGAGACTTGGATACCTCCAAGCATTGGTACCAATTTAAGACCTATTGAACTTGCTTTTTAAAAATTTTGGGGTTTACGACATTAGTTTGAGTTTTAGTGATTATTTCCTCTGGCCTTCATTATCATCAAGATAACATTGATATAATGCCCTTTTAAGCTTCCAAAATAGTCTGATTATGTCTTTTCATTTGCGGTACTGCATTATGCACACAAATAAGGAAACACTGAGAGAATAGCATTATGGGGGAAGCTCTCACAGTTTTTCTGCAAAATCAGCACAAATGAGTACACTTATGAAGTGCCTGTTATCCGATGCACACAGCATGGGGAACCAACAGGAGGAATTAGAGGTCTGCATGCAGTTGTAAGGCTGCGGTCTCAGGACCACAGAAATGTGGTCGGATAGCTCACGCAATTAGAGTGTAAGCTGCCACAGATGTCACTCCTGTCTTCAAGAGGACCAGAAAGAAGATCCAGGGAATTACAAGCCAGTCAGTCTTACTTCAGTCCCTGGGAATGTGATGGAGCAAATCCGTCTGGAAACTATTCCCAAACATATGAAGGACAAGAAGGTGATTGGGGGTAGTCAGCATGAATTTATGAAGTGGAAATCATGCCTGACCAGCTCGAGGGCCTTCTACAATGACATGACTAGCTTGGTGGAAAAGGGAAAAGCAGAGAATGCTGTTCATCTTGACGTTACTAAGGCTTCCAACACTGTCCCCCGTAATATCCTCATGGACAAACTAATGAAATAGGGACTAGAAAAGTGGACAGTGAGATGGATTGAAAACAGGTTGAAATGCTGGGCTCAAAGGAATGTGAATAATGGCTCAAAGTCCTGCTGGACACCAGTCCCTAATGATCTACCCCAGGGGTCTATCCTGGGTCCAGCACTGTCTGATTAGTGCAAAACTGGAGGGAGTGGCTGATGCACCAGACGGTTGGCCTTGCCCATCAGAAGGCCTTCAACAGACTGGAGAAATGGGCAAACGGCAACTTCTTGATGTTCAATAAAGGGAAGCACAAAGTCCTGAACCTGGGGAGGAATAACCCCTTCTGCCAAGACAGGCTAGGGGCCAAGTGGCTGGAAAGCAGCTCTCCAATAAAGGTCGTGGGGGTCCTGGTGGACTCCAAGCTGACCATGAGCCAAGGATGTGCCTTTGGAGCAAAGAAGGCCAACAGCATCTTAGGCTGCATTAGGCAGAGTGTTGCCAGCACGTCAAGGGAGCTGATCCTTCCCCTCTGCTCAGCCATGGCAGGCTGACCCACCACATAGGGGTTCTGGGTCCAGTTATTGTCTTCCCAGTACAAGGCAAACAGGCAAAATTCTGGAATAAATCCAATGAAGGGCTATGAAGGTGATTAAGGGACTGGAGCATCTATCATACGAGGAGAGGCTGAGAGAGCTGGGACTGTTCAGCCTGGAGCAGAGAAGGCTCAGAGGGGGATCAGATCCATGTGTACAAAGACCTGATGGAGTGAGTAAAGAAGACAGAGTCAGACTCTTCCCAGTGGTGCCCAGTGACATGATGAGAGGCAATGAGCACAAACTGAAATACACGAAATTTAATTTAACATTAAGAAAGCACTTTTCTACTGTGAGGGGAGGTCAAACACTGGAAGAGGCTTTCCAGAGAGGCTGTGTAATGTCCATCTTTGGAGATGCTCAAAACCTGTCAGGACACAGACGTATGCAACTTGCTGTGTGACCTGTGCTGAGCAGGGAGTTAGACTAGACAATCCCCAGA